TCGACCCAATGGTGATGAGTACGATGATGAAGATAATACTTTGGTGTTGTTGGGGATTTGATTGTGTTGCAATGTAGTTTCAGATGTACAAAACTGCTCCAATGTAGTTTCCATGATCTCTATCAATAAATTTTCCTGTGTCACAAACAGTCACGTTTCTTATGATTTTCCTTGTGTATATCTTTGCAGGTTTCTGATTCGGAGCCTTTGTTCAGTACTTGCTTTCCTGGAAGTGAACTTCCTTCGTGGTTCGGTCATGAACCCGTTGGATCTATATCAGAGGTCATAATGCCTCCACATTGGCACGACAATGGGCTTGCGGGTCTAGATTTATGTGCTGTTATCTCATTTCCAAACTCCCAAGAACAAATCAAACCATTGTCAACGAAATTTACATTCAAGCTAGAAGTAAAAGAAGGTTTGTGGATCGACTTTTCTTTACCAGTTGGAAGTTCGAGTAATGAGGAAAATATTGAATCATAGCATGTCTTTATAGGGTATATGAGTTGTTCGAAGATCTTTAAACGTCTTAAAAGCCAGCATTTTATCAGCTCTGATCCTACGAAGTCATCCACTCTATCTAGTAACTGTAGTCCTACCAAGGCCTCCCTTCAATTCACGGTCACAGATGATACGAGCAAGATCCCAAGGCTTGAGGTGCTCAAGTGTGGCTTAAGGTTAGTCACTGATTGGAGCCACTTAAAACGTTTTCTTTGAAATCTAGAGTTTCTTATTTATTTTTAACCGGCTTAATTTCCTTTTTTAATCATGTTGCAGGTTATTTAGAGGTGGTGGGAGCAGTGGAGGGCTTTTAAAGAAGCTGGAAGTGAAGGAAGCTGAACAGAATCTAAGTGCACAAAAGTTATCAGAAAATCGGACGAGTGAATCAGGTACCACTACAGAGGTTGCTGAAAATGGTAACAGTGCTGAACAGAGCTCAGAGACGGTTACCACATAGGTTACTGCTTCACCAGAAAATGCTAACAATGCAGAATTGGGAGTCGAGACATCCATAACCCTACGTGCAGCTCAACCACACCCATGTAATAAAACTTCGAAATGGAAATGTTTTGCTTGTTGTGACTTCCAAAAACATCCATGAACAATGGAAGGGTTTATAAAACCATGTACAAGAACTTATCACCCATTTATAAGAGTTTATAAATCTATTTACAAGGTTTATAAATCTATTTATAAGGATTTATAGAAAATATTGAAAGAGTTTAATAATCTTCATAAAACAATTTATAAGAGTTTTCATTTAGAAGAGTTTATAAATCATTTATAAAAATATAAATTCTTACAAAAATTCATAAGTGGATCCTTATAAAGGTATTTATAAGGGTTTATAAATTTATTTATTAGAATTTATAAATTTATTTATAAGGATTTATAAATGAATTTATAATGGTTTATAAATGGATTTACAAGTGTCTATAAACTAATTTATAAATGTTTATAAATTGAAATAGAATAAAGTGAATTTTTTCTGTGTTATAAAATGATTTATAAATGTTTATAGATTGATTTGTAAGAATTTATTTGCCCGATCCCAAGATCTACTAAGATCGAAAATCTCAATGAGAACATTGGAGTTTTGTCTGTGAAACTCACTCCTGAAGATGTCTGAACTAGAGACCATTGGCCACCCAGATTCCATGAAAGGAGAAAGGTTCAGTAACAACTGTTGGAATATACCAAAAACATATCAACCAATCAGGCTTTATATTATGTAGCTCATGTTATGTTACCTGCTCAAAGAGAAGACTTGCTGCATTAAAGTCGTTAGTCGCTTCCACCAGTTCATCCAAGGAGAAAAGGTGGTACGGTGGCAGATCAATCACTGCAGATCTCATTGTCTGCGGTACACGTCCTACGTTCGTAAAAAATCTTTTAATTATTCTGCTAGTTAGAAAACCGAATCATCATAAAGTAATAGTAATAGTCTTTGTTTTACTTAAATCTGCTAATGACTTAGTGCTGGTTGTTGTGGTGCTGCAAACCGAGACTTTATCAGATGCATGTTTATCATTGTTGTTGTTGTTGTTGTGTTATGATTTTATAAACTCTTACAAATGATTTAATAAAAATTATAAATGATTTTATAAACTCTTAAATTATTTGATAAAAGTTATAAACTCTTACAAATGGTTTATAACTAAGAATATTAAACTCTTTTTAAATTTTCTATAAACCCTTATAAATAGATTCATAAACTTTATAAATAGATGCTAAGTGACGTGTTCGTGCTACTGACATTGAAGAGCTTGTGCTCCTGAAATTTTCCAAAACATGGAGGTCTAAGTTCAGAATTAGCTCATGTACTATGGAGAGCAGACTATTATTTCTTGAGGTAATTGCCGATGATAGTTCTGAGATCAAAATTTCAGAAGGAGACATTTTGTTAATACAGCTCAAAGACATTTTGTTAATACAACACTCATTCAGTTCGGTGCTCGTCTTGATAGCAACATTACACAGACAGATAAACTGTTGTTATTTTTTTGCGATTTGAAGGTCGAACAAACAACCGAGACACCTCGACATCCCAAGTTTCACAAAACGAAACTCAAGAGATGCTGCAGTACATCGTCTTGGAGTGAAACATGATCTTACATGACCGATCTCTTCTACCAGCGAGACCTCTGATATACCATGATTTTGACCCACTTTTAGCCATGGTATTGATATGTTTTTATAAGTTATATATATATATATATGTTTTGGAGTCTATTAGGTATGTTTTCAGGTTCAGGAGCATTTTGGAGTAAAGTGATGATTTAGGTGCCCTTATGGAGCTTAAAGGAGAGTTTTCTGAGATGACTATGAAGATCAGACAACAAGGATACATATCGATCGATACACATCTTGTGTAATCGATCGATGACGCTTCTATTGAAGATGAAGTCGAGATACTCCATCGATCGATGTACACCCTGTACCATCGATGGATTCAAGCGTGGAGAACAAGTCTGACCTGGCCGACTTGAAGCCCAAGTTTTCCCAATAATACAAGATTGCCCCTGACGAGTTTTTAACCTAATGGAACTCATATTTATAGTTATGCCTATGTGTTTTGGCAAAGCATGCTTTTGAATGCTTTGTGTGCTTTTATGTTTTGAATACCTTTTGTTACTTCTTAAGCTTTGCTTGTTTTTAATTTAAGTATTCTTTTCATCTCAATTCTCAAAGGTTATAGAATTCTAGATTTAGAAGAAACACACAAAGAGATTTGTTGTTCCAAAGAACCAAGAGTTCAATCTTCTAATCTTATGAATTTCTATTATTACCTTGCTGTTATGAATATCTTAGCCATGTCTGAGTAGATTTCTTTGTTAGATTTAGGGTTCAAATAGTTATGAAGGATTAGCCCCAACTATGGAATGTTGAGTTGTGATATTCATTATCCAAATGAACCCTAATGCTTACTCTAGAGTAGCTAACTAGAGTATGATCATAAAGTGATTTAACTTGTTAAATCATTATCCTGAAATCATTTGGCATAAGCTTAGATCCTCTAGGGATGTGCGAGAGCCGGTCTATGATCTTGGTGAACACATTTTCGATTCGATCTTATGATATATCGATTGATACTCCTATAGAGTTATCGATCGACGGCAACCCATATCGTTCGATATCGCTGTCAAAACATCGGTCGATATTGCCGACAATAAGATCAATGGATGAGTCTATTTAGCGACTGCTATTGGATCTGTCTAAGAATCGAAGTTCTTATATAGCTTGCAAGCAATTTACTAAAACATTTGTAGCATTATAATCCTGATTATCTGAATAGCAACCTTGAATCTAACTACTTTCTTTTATTGTCTTAAACCAAAACATGTTCTCTTGAGCAACTTACCATTGCTCACAACTGCAATTTACTATTTTAAACTTAATCAACCTAGCATAATCACTTCGGATTACATCAGTTCCCTGTGGATTTGATCTCTAAGTACTACAACTGAACCTCTTATTTGAGAGAGTAATTCACTCCTTAGGGTTAAATATTTGAGTGATATCAACCTCTAAAAAGCACTACCTTCCATTTGCACAACACTTATTTGTTTTTGTTGTCCTTGTCCATATTATCATCATAACTTTCCAAACAAAATTGTTACCATTTGAAGAAGCAATCAATAAGTTGCAACCAACAAGCTTTTGTATCCTCGTTCATGATTCATCTTTTGTAATCTTTAAACAAGTGTGTTTGTTCTTGTTGGGTATTGATTGTCTTTTATATATATTTACATCAAGTGATCATGTTGTAATCAATCCTTGTTGGTCAGTGATTGGTTACATCATAATGTTTATAAATTGAATTTGATTTAGATGAGTTTATTAAATGACTTATAAGTGTTTATAAAGATATAAAATGATTTATAAAGCTTTCTAAGTTGACTATAAGAGTTTTAAACTGATTTATAAGGGTTTATAAGCTAATGTATTAATGTTGACTATGATAAATGACTTATACAATGATTATAAACTAAATTAGAAAGACTTATAAACTAATTAATAAAAACTTATAACTAATTTATAAGGGTTTATAAAATCATTTATAAGGTTTGTAAAGGCTTATAAACTAATCTAATAAGGTTACTAAGTTAATGTATAAAAAGCTTATAAAATGATTCATAAAGGTTTATAAGTTAATTTATAAGAGTTTATAAACTAATTTATAAAGGCTTATAAACTAATTTAAGTGTTTAGAAGTTGATTTATAAATCCTTATAAATGTTTTATAAATGATTCATAAACCTTAATAAATGACTTATAAGAGTTTATAAATCATTTATAAGCCCTTATATATAGTTAAAAATGGTTTATATAATTTTATACATGGTTTATAAACTTTTATCAATTATAAATGGTTTATTAAATTTTTATAAACTCTTTAAATCATTTATAACCATTTTATAAATGATTTTATACACTTATAAACATTTGTAATGGTTTATAAACCTTTATACATAGTTTATATATATTCTTATAGATGTTTTATGAACTCTTATAAATGATTTATAAGCCTTTACAAAATGTTTCAAACAGCAAGATCTCCTAAACAATATAAAAGATCCAAACCTAGAATTGAAATAAAAGTAAAACCAAACATCATTGCAAAATCTCAGTTTGTTGACAAACAAAAGAGTGATAAATAAAAACACAACCAAGGAGAGAGACAGAGCAAAGAGATGGGATAAACTAGTAACGACCCCAGACTCTGATAACTCCATCGGTATATCCACTGAACAAGGTGCTACCATCTGCATTCCAATTCAGACTGGTGCAGTAGATAACCTATCCACAAATCAACAAAAAGCTGTCAAGTCTTGTTTTCGCTCTAAGCAAGAAATCTCAGGTAAAAGTTGGAATCAAATCAAGACTTAATAGCCATTGGCATAAGTTACCAAAGCAGACACAGATAGCAACGAGACTGAATCTATATCAGATCAAACAAATTGTTACACAAGATTCACATTCATACATTGATAAAAACTAGCCAACAGTATACTGCAATCTATGGCCAAGCTAATGTATGAAGCTAATGCATGTGAGGTATTACTGATTGTTTGATCTCAAGGGTGTAGCCAAGCTGATCCATTAATCTCTGTGAGACGTCAGCGAGTTTCAAAGGCTTTGTCTCTGGAACAACTGTGCTGAAAAGAAGAATCAGTGAGTCTCTAATGATGAAAGAAAGTATTAAAGAGTAACAAAGGCATCGAAGAAAAAGTTATTTACTTGAAAGAGGTGAGGTATTGAGTATTGACTAAAAAATACAAATTTGAACTTGTCTAATGGTTGGTGTTTGTAAAGCTTGAATGTCACCAATAGAAAAGAAACTAAAAATGCATACATACAGATGACTATTGTAGCTTAGACTTATACATATATTCACAGGGAATAAGAAGAAAAAAAGATACCTCGAACTTCAAGAATCCTTCAAGAACATCGAGAAGGAGCGGTGCGCTATCTCCATTTCTGTTGAGCTCATAACCATGGTTGCTGCTGAAGTCGTTTAGTTCAGACTTCCGAGAGTCCTTTTGCTGTGCATAGGTTGTTAAGGCGCAATGCAGATCAGAAAGAAGCAAGGTTTTAAACTTTATCTACAATCTACTGAACTATACAAACAAATAAAACAAGAGAAGTGATTACTTGATTACTAAATTACATTCGGGTTGATACACTTTGAGCGTGTGATCGAGTTGCGTCCACTCCAAGTACTCACAAACTAACGCACATAACAACCTACCTGCATTAATTTCAACACTTCAAAGTGAGAACCTACTCAACTCCACAACCTCAATGTTCATATCCTAAGTGCACATATGTGAATCAAACTCAAATTGCAAACCTAGACAGGCAGGCTGTTCTAAATCAAACCATCACAGAGATGTAACAAAACAGTGAGATGTGATGCGAACATTACACAGCAGCCTAACAGTTTGAAAGCTACATAAAACCGATTCGAGCAGAGATGTAGCCAAAGACCTGAAGGAAGAGCATGAAACTGCCTTGCACGATCAGTACAGCTTCCCAAGAAAGCTAGAGGCAGCCCTTCGTTGTTCTCAATCACTCGATCCTCTTCTTAAATTGCCTCAAACACACTCGCTCGTAGCTCAGCCTGCCACAGCAACAAAAATATATCAGCTCTTCTCAACATTAAAGACCTAGTTATCTATAAAGAACGAAACTTGGAATCAACATGAACTTATCGAAGAATCTATATGCATAATACATAAATGATATCACTCAAATGTTTAACCCTAAGGAGTGAATTACTCTCTCAAATAAGAGGTTCAATCGTAGTACTTAGGGATCGAATCCACAAGGACTCTAGAATTACACAACAAATTATTAAGTCTTCGAAATAAAGCTAGACAATAAGATTTTAAACAGTAACTTAAAAGATAGCAAGTAAATGCTTGATTGGTTGATTGTTTTGTTAAGAAGGAAGAAGATAGTTAAACTTAGGTATTTTCTCAGGTATGACATACATGCAGATTGTAAAGGGTTTTTATTATTCATAATTCTGGATTCAAACTCTTAAGGAAATTAAGGATTAACTCCACTGGATTTCGGTTTAGGACTATCGTCCGATAACCTGAAGATAATATCGATCGATGTTTCTGTCGAAGCTATCGATCGATGTAAATACCGCTATATCGGTCGACACGACTATCGTCTCGTCGATCGACATCGCATCCAGTGAGTGGTATAGGTGTGTTTGAATGGATTATCTAGTTTTCATTTAAATTAACTTAGACTTAGGGTATTTGCCAAGATATCGCTTGTCCAAATTGATCCTAAAGTCAGAGGCAAGGGTGATCAATCCTTGATCTTAGCATTCATTGATAACTAGATTGAGAACTATATTTTAAACACCCTAATAATGGTTCAATTCAATGCATGAGTCAACCTTAATGAGAAACCTAAATCTAACAAGAGAGACTACTCAAACATATTCATAAGAGACAAAGTCATGATGGTCTGAATAATACTTTAAGATAATAATAAAAAGAAATAATAAGTAAAAAGGGAGTTCAAGATCTTCTCTGTAATTGTAGTTCAGATCTCTCTCTCCATCAAAACTCTTCTCAAAGTGTAGCTAGATGCTTCTCCCAATTAGGTCTAAAAGGTCTCCAAAGTTGTCTACCTAAACTAGTACAAAACCCTCTTAATATAGCCTAACAGGTGGCCATGGACTTAGTGTGTAAATTATTAAAACTCTTGTGAAGCAATTAGGGATTCTAATCGTCATTTAATAGCTTGGATAACTTATGTATCGATCGATGCAAAATGCCATTATCGATCGATACGGGTAATCATCTATCGGTCGATTGCTCTCAACGTGCATCGGTCGATAGCTTAAACATAGTTTTGCTCATATCTTCATAAAGTCTCCATTTTAGCTCCAAAATGCATGTTTTACACCAGTGAGTACCTGAATCTGTAAAAGCTCTAAAAAGACACTAAAAGTATCCTTTTGTTTCCAAAAACATATATAAATCATGGCTGAAAACGGGTAAAATCCATGATATATCAATAAACAACATCAGCCACATTCAAACCCCTAATCAAGGATCTGAACCCAGAAACCCTAAAATGTATAATTGGTTTTTTTTTTCTTCTATCTAAGCTAAAAGGTTGAAACTTTGAGATCTATCATCTCTATAGTTACCCGGATCTTAGCAAGAACACCCTTTTTCTCCAGGGTTTGAGTGACTAAGGTCTTGAGATCCCTCATTTCTCTTGTGTAATCGTCCATCATCTCAGCTTATCTGCAGCTGGAGAAGTATTACTCCCACCAATGGCGAATGTAAGACCGCTTTGACGACGAGGAGGGCTTGTTGTTTGTGATGCCGACTCGTTCTTTGTAACATCAGGACAGAGGATTCCATCCATCAAAGAGCAGAAGTTTTCAACTTGGTAGTGAATGTTCTCTTGAACTTGCTTTTGCTGATCTGAGAAAGAGGTTTTATACTTGATCACATGCCTACACAGAAACAGATACTTCCTGCAAGTAAACAACAAACCCCATCATCACAAAATGATCATAGAGAGCATACAAGGTTTATGATCATTTTATATATACTTACCATGTCAAGAACTTCTCTCCTAGTGTAAGCCTTGTCTGAGATCAAGATGAGATCATCAACAACAGGAACAAATACTTCCTCGTACTTGCAAGCTAGAAACATAGCAGTTACACCCACAAGCTGAAGGCTTCTTCCTTGCGACATGATGTTGAATCGCAAGGAACCTGTCTATAAGATTGATTGTGAGGTATAGCGTCTCTTCCATCAGCTCAAACTTCTAATGTACATGAACAAGTGTTCCACAGTCAAAACAATGTTTGTTGCTAAAACTATCTCCAAGAAACAAAAAAAATATAAAATGTACCAACTTCAATCAGCCAATCAACAAGGATGGCTATCATCCTCTCGTTAATGTCAAGTTGATTCTCCATGTAGTTAGGCGAGACACAGCTACGACACTACAGAAATAATGTAAAGGTTTCAATCACTGTTCTTGATAGAGAAACAGAATATCAGCGCGAAGTTACCTCATGTTTCTTGTAGAAGTCATAAATGCCATTACTGTAGTCAACAACAGCTAGAGGGTTCTTCTTGTCACAGCTATCTATATCCATCACAGTCTCTTCTACTTTCAATATCATTTGAATCTTCCATTTCAATCCCCTCCTGTACATAAACAAAAAGAACACAACATTAGTATACAACTCATGGGTACTAAGAAGCTAGAGAGAGAGAGAGGGGTACCTTCTTAGTCATGTTCATGGAAGCAGTAGAGGTAAGCAGTAAAGGTAGGTACCTTCTTAGTCATGTTCTTGCTCCTCTTGTTGTTTCTCTTCATCTCCTCACTGGCCTCGACAACTTGTCGCTTCTTTCTAACTCCCTTCGATCCCCAAACATTGACTTCCTTTTCTGTTTCCATTTCAGAGATATCATCTTTTCCTTTCTCGCCCAGTTCCACAGATACACTCGATTTCGAAACCCTATTTTGGATTCGATGATTCCATAGGATCGAAGAATCAAACGGACGGATGGATGCGTCACCGTCGTCGGCTTGTCACCGGATGCGTCGTTTGTTTGTTGGAGAGTCGCCGTCAGAAGATCGATCTCATGGGAGAGAAGACTTAGGTTAGCTAAGGTTACTTTAGTCTTTTACCAATTAGTCATTTAGGTATTTGTGAATATGACCTTATGTGAAAGGTATTTGTGAATTAGTGTACCAACTAATGTGTGTTTATGTAATTCTCCCTGTATATATAATCATGGCTCAAGCAACTTCATTGCGGTATATACTTTCATGACTCCATCAACTTTGCATCTCATAGTGCTTCCTCATTCATGTTTGAGCACACAATGATTACACATCAGATCTAGATAGAGTCACAGAGAGACTTAGACATAAGCTTATTGACTTATTGCAGGTCTGATCAGCGGATCATCGCATCCATTATAATGATTTAAGAAACATAAGCCAACCACTTCGTGTCTTCAGTGGACACAAGCGGTTTCCTATGTGAAGTTTTTGTCCAACAAAAAGCTTGCTTCTGCATCTACAGATAACACACTATGCTTATGAGATGTCAAGGACAACTTGCCAGTAAGATTAATTCCCAAGCTGGATTGCTAATTGCATACAAAGAAACGAGTCTTGAATATGTTGTTTTATATTGCTTTGTCAGGTTCGGAAATTCAAAGGACAGATGGGGTATCTAGCCTGCGAAAGTGAGACAAACGTAGTCTACGTATATCACAAGGTTGACAAAAATCTGAAAGCCCTTTGCTTCATTTTGACAGTTATCATGTACACATATTGAATCTTTGTTGCTCAAGTTTTTGGAGATGTGTGATGCAGGAGATCACGAGACTAGTGACATCGCACAGATTTGGAACACTAGACATGGAGGAGGGAGAGAAAGAGGCAGGTTCATACTTTATAAGTGTGGTTTGCTGGTACCATCAAAGTTCTGGTACTCGCTGCTTGAGTGTACTTATACTCAAAAGATCTAACAAGCTTCTTTAATTAAAAAACAATAAAGTTTACCATATAGTATTCTATTTAGTTGGAGCTATAGAGAAAAACAATTGGTCAAAAGTAGGGTTCGTATTATAATGCTTATGATTCGAATGAAGAATTCGTATTAAAGAAGTATGATATTCTATTATTCTACTTTTGCACTAAGTTTGAGTATTAAATTGTGTTGATAAACAAGTGATAAGCATAGTGTTGCTAGGGTGCTTTTTCACTTGAGCACCTCTGACAAGGGATTATAACACCATAGCCTACTGGTTAAGGTTTAAAGGTTTTTACATCCATGTTTGAGGTTCGAATCTCATACTATGCCATTTCTTGCAGATTACAGGAAATCCAGGTTTCAAGTCCCGGAGAGAGCGATTTATTAATGGAGACTACGGAGAAAAAAGTTTACAGGGAATTTTCAACATGATGCAAGTAAATCTGATCAGGAGTGGATCTTCATAGGACTGCTTAGATGATGAAGTTAGGCGTGGATCCTTATAAGGCAGATAGTATTGTCGGTTGTCAAGTCGTCTATGTAATCTTTCTCATAAATGTAATTTCACAATAAATCAGCGTTATAAAAAAAACACTGAAGTTCTCAAAATACACAATAGTATTTAATTGTGGAGTTATTAACTTTACGGAAAACCCAACATAAAGTATACTAGAGTAGATATTTTGGTTGAATTTCCTATAATTTAAAAAATCCCACAATTAAATACTAACCAGATGATACTTGCGCGCGGAGTGAGTTTTTTCTACTAATGTTTGTACGGTATTAATATTTTGCAACACTACAATATTTATCGACTGTAAAATGACGAATACAATTGTTGGTCTCTTAAATATATCATATGTCTGGGCGTTCGAGGATCCATCTGTTTTGGTTTGATTGATTCCGATTTTCAAATTTTTGGTATTATGCTCTTCATTCATATTCGAGTTTTACTAATTGTTGTATCGGATTCGGTTTGGTTTCTTCTGGATTTGGTTTGGATCGGATTGTAACCAATATCTGAAATTGTCGCAAAAAAATATTTTTGAAACTGCAAAAATTGACATAAAATTTTAAAAATATTTAAATTATTAATAAATCTAATTTAAAATTATTTAAACTATCTAAACTAACTAAAATATATTCAAAATAAAAATAAAATAGACTACAAAAATATTTCGAATACAATAATATATCTAAATTACCTTGACATATAAAAATCATTAACATATTATACTAATTTCAGATATATTTGGATCATAGTTGGGATTTTGGTTTGGTTCGGATTATAACCAAACCCCAAAGTATTAAATCATAAGTCATGTTCGGATAAATTATAATAGCTAGATCGGGTATTATGGACAAAATAGTTAAACCATTGATCAAAAAAATTCAATGTGGGACTTTTACCATTTTATTAATTTATAATCGTTTTATAATTTTTTAATATAACATATAAGAAAAAAATCTAAATGTTTATTATATGTTTAAAGTGATTATTTAATTTATTGTAATAATACAAAATTAAACAAAAAAATAGAAAGGATACACAAACTATTTCAAATTTGTATTATTCATAATCATTAATTCTCATATACTCCCTCCGTTTCAGAATATATGTCATTCTAGGCTTATTTTTTTATCACAAATTAAGTGTCGTTTTAGAGTTTCGAGGCAAAATTTATTAGTTTTATATAATATTCTATTTCTCTATTGGTTGAAAAGTGGTTAGGTGTATAGGTAATTGTGTTTTTATCTTGGAAATATATAAAATTAAATATTTTCTTAATCTGTGTGTAAAAACCTAGAATGACAAATAAAGTGAAACGGAGGGAATATATGTTAATCATATTAGATAATTTCATAGTTTTTATATTAATTGTGATAACAAGTGGCTACGAAAACATGTTATAATGCTCTAGTATTAATATATAAGAGATATTAATATATATGTACTTTGAGAACCCCGATGCTAGATATCATCATTGAAGTTGTCTAAGGGCACCCGCAGCGGTGGATATCTCACCAACTTTCTTATATTAAAATTATATTGAAAAACTACCAAATGATGAAAGAGAAAAATAAAAAAAAATTGGAAATAAAAGAGGATTGATTGATGGCAGAGAGACGTACCTGGTGCGTGAAGAGGCTTTAGTGTCAGGTGTCAAAATTTCAATGATTGAAATTTATTTTATTTAACATTATTATTTACAATTTATATATATATATATATATATAATAAGAAAGTTATTTTTTTCTCTCCATGGGAGTGAAGAAAGACACCTGAGAATCTGAGATCATATTATTGGCTCTGACTGGTGACAACACTGACAAGTAATATTAGAGTTGAATTACAGTATGATTTATAGTTTGATGTAATTTGCAGTAAAAATATGTAATAAAAATTATAAATTGATGTGGTAAGTTTACAGTAAAAATAAAACTTATCATTTTATTAAAATTTATGACTAGTAACCTTTTTGATATATAAGTTATAGTGTGAGTTTTAAATAATTAAATATATAAAAATATAAGTAGATAGTTTTTATTAAAAACAAATAAACAATTAAGCTATTCATTAATTTAAAAAATAAAAAGAAAATTTATTATAAATAGGTATAAAAAATTTGAAAAATTAAAACTAATTTTCAGTATATATTATTTTCTAATTATAATACCTGATAATACAATTTATTCTAACATCAATTATAAGTTAAATTAAATGATATAATAATAATAATAGAATGAACTTTAAATTAAAAAAAAAAACCAATAATAACATACTGAAAATCATGTGTAGACCCGCATGCACCTAGCCATGTATACGTGAAAATCATGTTTATATCACATATGCCCATTATGTTCAAGCTAGTAGTAATTAGTTAAACATTTGAATAATTAAAAAAAAAAAACAAGAAGGATTATTCATAAAATCGTTGACTACCATAAATTTAGGGAGTAAATAAACAAAGCAACAAAATATTACGGCACACTTAAATATTTGCTCATGATCTTTATTTAAAAAAAAAAGAAAAATCAAATTCAACTTCTAAAACATGAGATTTGGGTTGATGTAGATTTAAGTTTTGAGTTAACCATTTTGTAGAGGGTGTAAGTCAAAATTGTAACTCAAACACGACACATTTTAAATCAAACCTAAAATCAAAAAGGTTAAATTTAATGCATGACTTAGTCAAGAAAAAAAATCTATATTATAATGAGGGAGTTTACTCACTCCCAACGCGACACGTCAGCACTTTTTCCACCCACGCACGGTTTTGTATCTACATAACTTATTAACGCTGACTATTAACAATAGATGAGCATTTGGCCCACTGGTATAATCCGCAAACCTAGAGCTTCCTTCCGCGGGTGCCGGGTTCGATTCCCCACAAAATGTTTTTTTTGTTCGCATTTTAAATTTAGTTGCTGGGCTTTTTTTGTTTTTTTTGGCCCATTTAAGTTTGTCTAGTTATAGACATCTAGATCTTTGTTTCTCAAGACGTTCCCGATTCCGGCGAACGTATTCCCCCACTTCGCACTCTTCGACTCTTCTCCTCATCTTCAATTTTTGTAACTCTTATGCCATCAATTCGACTTCGATCCATCTATATATATGTTTGTAGATAGGGTCTCTGGTTTCTCTTTTTTTTTCCTCCTCATATTTTGATAAACCCTGCAGCCGCGGTCGAAGTGATGCCTTCTTCAGATGCTCAGATTGCCAACGCCGCCGTTGAATACTCCACTTTCGGCTCTCTTTGACTTGGAAGGACGGTTCAGTCTGTTGTCGCGCGCCTGATTCGTTTCTAGGATTCACGCAACGTTAATAAGAACGGGGAGTTTATGGGGTTTACGCTGTTACTTCTCGACGAACTGGTACGTTATGTCCATTACACAGATCTGTTTTCTAACATTTATCAGTGAACTAATCAAGTTTGGCTTTCATCCCTGCGAACCGGGCCAGTCATTACCAACCATCGTTGAAAGCTGGTTCTATTGTCAGATTGGACCGATTTGAAGTTGCACGGGTTGCACACATGTACAAGGTCAAGGAACATCAGTTCTTGATCCGTTTCCTACCGTCTACACGCCTTGGTGATGGCCCCTGTTATCAAGTCTGACAGGTTCATGGTGAGGCGTTATGACCACCTCCAAGTCCTAGCGAACACCAACCTAGAATTACCAGGTCTGTCTTCAGTCTTTTCTATATCTAGATTTCCACGTAACACTGTTTTGTCGTGTGCCTTTTGATTCTCTGTATCAAAGTTCTATTTTTAAGACTTTTTTTTGTTTGTGGTCAGATGTTGTTGGTGAAATCCGCTCTGTCCAGGGGTCTGATCTGAGCAACGAATCTGCCACCACCAGATTTGTGGTTCGCTTCTTGATTGAACCGTAAGCAACCTTTCACTCTCTCTGAATTATGGGTTATGATCTCTAGATGTTTGAATCCTTATTATAGGTTACCTGTTAAATAACACTTGATTTGAAGCCACTGTAAATCCCTTTCTTTGATTTAAAGACTTAATCTAAGTGCAATACTGTAACGATTTCACCCTTTATTAAAAAAAAAATTCACCTTTCGCATGTAATACTGTAACGAGGATCCCAAAGGTGAAAAAGATATAATATAAATGAGTTGGCGTAACATTAATTTAGTTGCAGATACTTTTTGTTGATTTGTTTATTGTCGTCTCTTTGTTTTTTTTTGTTATTAGATTGACATATATGGCATATTCAGGCATGGATTCTGTCATTATGTTCACATATTTGTTGTGTTCATCGTGTGTAATTGGCATATATATGTGGATTCACTTACGAATTTTCTAAATTTTGCAAGTAGTAAGAGTTTACAGGAATACATCTGCATTTATATAGTTTAAAGTTCCCAGAATGACATTGGGACAAAACTCTTCAAGCATGCATTACCGTAATTTTATTTCTAATGAAGAAACATAACTTTTGAAACTAATGGAATTCTTCTTGTAATGAAAAGAAAAACTTTCAAACAGTGTAAAGTCACAAGTTTTTAAAACGAAATGATTTCAATTATTATTTTGGGGCCTTTTAACTGTGTATTTTGTAGTTATTTAAGACACAACCTACTGTGTTGTATATAGATTTCTCGAATAAAAAAATTTGCGCTTATCATGTCTACAAAAAAAACCTTTCTCGCTTAGTAGTTCCTCACTGGCTGGTGCATCTGTGGTTTTAAAACTGATTATATTGTGCTTGCAACACAGGAATGTAACTGTGTACCTAACTTTGTGGGATGAAGCTGCATCGACCTTCAGGGGCCTCTTGAAACCAGGGGATAAATCCAAGGCTGTAATGTTGGTAACCACTGTTAATCCAAAACTCTTCGGAGGTTAGGATCCTCTGTTTTCTGATTCATCCTCAAACCTCTTATATACTGTTTTAGTTGACATGTTATTTTAATTGAGCAGGTAATCTGTACCTAAACTCCACGCAAGGAACAAGGTTCTTTTTTGACCCCAAACTACTAGAAATAACAGATTTCCTCAGCAGATACATACGTCATACCCTAAGCTTCATATGCCAATTACCAACAACCAAAAAACATTAAAATTAAAACAAAAAAATAATTGCTAAAACATTATAATTGTTACTAAAATTAAAAATCCATTAAAAAAAAATATTTACTTACTTAACAAAAAATATCACTAACCACCCCTTTCTACATTCAAACCTATATACATTATAATTTAAACTAAATATATACAAAAAAAATACACGCATCAAATTTTTCTGGAAACATTTCTAGATCGATGTTACATCAAACTAATCAAACCGTCTGACTTCCAATGTTTCATAATCTCAAACACAATATTACGTAATGCTTCGTCAACGTGCATGGCCCCGCGCTTGCACGGGGGAAATGAAACTAGTTAATGCATGATTGGTAACATTTTTAAGTTACAAGCCTAACTCAAACTTAATCAAAGTTACCACATGTCACCAATTAAAGCCTAACTCTTTTACGATTTTGAGACAATAAAAATTATAATTCTTTGAAGACCAATTGTTATTAGGGTTTGATTAATCTTCATCACCACAGTTTATGTGTTTCGTTTAGGTGATGGCTCTTCGGATCTAGAATCCTGGAAACAATGTCTCAGTAACATTTTCATCTTTTTTCATTTATCCAAGCATTAACGTCCTAACCGATGGATAGCATCACTGCAACGAACCCCAGACAATGGTAACCCATTTCTCTTGCTCTATTCTTCCTAACACGGCCGTTGTAGCCTTGGTAGTTGATGTAAGGTATTGTAGTTATAATCTGTTGCTTCTACTTTCAGTTGTTATAACAGAAACTGATTAACTTCACCCTCCTCTTGATTCATCTTCCTTCTGACAAACACCGCTCATCCAAGGTTTCGTTACTGATGGAGCTCACAGTCTCTTCCCTCAAAGTTTGGTCACTTCTTCGGTGAATATGATGGCCATGAAGGCGAGTACTATGAACTAAGCTTAGTTCATAGTTTGTAAGAAGTTTCTCTGATATGAGTAATAGCGAGTTTAAAGGCTAACATTCCGAAACGAAGAGGAAGTTGGTACTTTGGCTTTTTTTGTTGGTCTTTCAAGATAACTCCATCAAAAGGCCCAATGATTGACTTGAAACTGTAAGTCAGACCCAATGTGAATTGAATTCTGAAGCCCATCTTGAGTCCAACAAGTTAACTCATCACCAACGGTCTTCTTCAACTCATGTTTTGTTGAGTTGCAGAGCTGTGACTTGTACGGAGAAGTCTATCCTAAACCGTTTTGATCCACTCCAAAACCTCTGTGCTGGCTAGTCTTCATTGTGTTTTACTTTACAGCTGGTAGTCAAGCCATCGAGATTGTTCGATTGGCTCTATATATACATTTGTAAAACCTTCACGGTTTAATTAAGAAAAGCATTATTCAGTCAAAAATCTCTCTCTTTTCTAAAGTTTAACATGGTATCAGAGCCCATCTAAACCTTAACAGGTATGGCGGATCCGGTGAACCCTTATCCCTTTCCGAGCAAAGTTCATGTCTTGAGCTGTGTAACCCTCAAGCTCACAGACAGTAACTACCTGCTCTGGAAAACGCAGTTTGAATCCTTGTTGTCAAGTCAGAAGTTGCTGGGGTTTGTAAATGGTGCAGTGGAAGCGCCTCCAGTGACACATGTGGTGCGTCGTGGTACTGAGAATGTAGAAGAAAACAACCCGTTGTATGAAGCCTGGTTTTGTACGGATCAGTTGATCAAGACTTGGCTATTTGGTACTCTGTCTGAAGAGGTGAAGGGATCTGTTCACACACTAAAAACATCGCGTGATATGTGGGTGTCGTTAGCTGATAACTTTAACAAAAGCTCTGTCTCGAGGGAGTTTTCATTACGTAGGAGTCTTCAGCTTCTCTCGAAGAAAGACAAGACCTTGGCCGTGTATTGCAGAGATTTCAAGATGGTGTGTGATGCTCTCAGTGCTATTGGAAAACCCATTGATGAGTCAATGAAGATTTTTGGGTTCCTCAATGGCCTTGAAAGAGAGTTTGATCCAGTAACTACAGTGATTCAGAACTCTCTCACAAAGTTCCAAGCCCCAACCTTTAATGATGTAGTCTCTGAAGTAAAGGGTTTTGACGACAAGCTGAAGTCCTATGAAGATACTCATGCTGTGAATCCCCATGTAGCCTACTCTGCTCAAAGACAAGAAGATACAAGAGGCTAGAAACCCACCTACAACCCAAACTACAGAGGCAGAGGCCGTGGAGCATACAGAGGACGTGGAGGCTTCTCTAGCGGAGGTCGTGGCTTTATTCAACACCAATCCAGTATTCAAGGTCAAGGAGAAAGACCAACATGTCAGATCTGTGGGAGAATAAGCCATACGGCCATAAAATGCTACAACAGATTTGATAACAACTATCAGTCTGATGCAGCCTTCTCGTCTATGCGTGTCTCTGAAGATAAAGATTGGTATCCAGACTCCGGGGCTACTTCTCATGTCACCTCATTGGCAGGAAATCTCCAAGGAGCTCATCCTTATGGAGGTGATGACACTGTGATGGTTGGAGATGGGGCTTATCTTCCAATCACTCATGTTGGCTCTGAGACCATTGCTTCTGGCTAAGGTACTTTATCCTTGAAGGAAGTTCTTGTGTGTTCTGACATTAAAAAATCTTTGCTTTCAGCCAGTAAGTTGTGTACAGATCATCAGTGTGGTGTGTTTTTTGATGCTAATCATGTGTATATTATTGATCTGATTAAGAAGAAAGTAGTGGTCAAAGGAAACAGAAGTAATGGCTCACTACAAGAAATATAAGTATTCATAGCAGTAGCGGATAGCATTATTTGCCGTTTTGCTATAGTTGACATATCCCTTAATTTTTGATAGCGTTTGTTAAAATACAAACGCTATGTTTGGTTGGGCCGATTTTAATTATGCAAATGCTTTTGAGAAACAAAATATACATAGCACTATCAGTTTTGAAGCGCTATGCATAATTAAGGCGGTAAATAATTTCATTTTCCCTCTCATTCCCATTTCAGTTTCCCTCCCACTCCATTTCATTTGCCAACCCTACAAAACCCTAAACCCTAAACTTTAAACACAATCCATAAAATTCAAATACTTTCTTTATTTAAATTTTAAATCTTGAGTTTAAATTCAAATTTTTAATTTTAATTTTTAATTTTAAAATATTAAATCCAAGTCCTAAATTTTGAACTATGGACTTATATCATAACCCATGTGGGAACCGAAATTCACACTTGTCGATTTCCGTTAAATAAGGAAACTTAGGAAAACCCTAATTTTCCAGAGGAACCGGATCTCTGCGAAAGCCAACGACAAGTAACCAAATAAATGCGGAAAAATATAAAAAACGCAATAAAACGAATTTAAAGAAAAATTAGATCTTATTTCGATTTCGCGTAAGGGCGTTGCGATCATTACAAGGGTTTACAAAGGCTTTGGCTGCAGGGCCGTCAGCGAGTTATCAACATAAAAAACCTTAAACCTAATCGAGTCGCAGCTCGATAACAAAAGACGGAAAAAGATAAGAAAAAGGATTTGATTGATTTCGGACTGAACCTTATGAAAGGCTGCCTACGTACCCCTTTCGAGGATCAAGTCGAACGTAGTTCAGTTGATAGAGATGGACCAGAGATCAAACCGCCTAGGCGAGTTCGTCTAGTAATTGAGCGCCAATCATAGAAACCGAACTTGTCGAGAAAAAGCCTAAGTTTCTAAGTGCGGAAAATTCTAAGTCTAGAAAAGTTGTAAAAGTCTCAGATGAGAGCTCTGAAATTCGTCCCTTTGCTTCTGCCCTATGCCTCTTGCTTATATACTCCCTTCCTAGGCGGTTTAGTCTTTCCATTTCGCCCAGATTCGAGTTTATCGGGAATCTTCCATTTATCTCGATCTTTCCTTTTTTCCTGCGGAAATCTTCTATTTATCCTCAAACTTGACATTTATCTTCAAGTTTGACATTTATTTTCTTTCAGCGAGTAAATCGCCAAAACGTCGTTGTCTCTTCGGGTTGGATTTCGTTTTAAAGTCGCGAGTGGCTTTTATCGCGTTTTAGGACTTTCTGAGCCGTTTTGCGATAAATCCGTTTTACGACCTTAGACGAGATCGTTTCCTGATACGATGCCGTTTTTAGATAAGTTTCTCGAGTTAATCGTAAAGCTAGGCAATGTTCGATGTTTCGATTAATCGTTGCCATTTTCTACGATTTACTCGGGGTTTTATTGAAAACGTGTTTTGTACGACTTTTACGAAAAATCTCCAATAAATCGTATAGTTTAGGCAATATTCCGTGTTTTGTTTAACCGTTGCCATTTTATACGATTTCCTTGAGTTCTTTTCGAGAAAACATAGTTTTACGGTTTTTATCGTAAAAAACTCAAACGATAGGACAGATCGAGACGAAACGGGAGACATTTCGACCGTGATTCGGAATACGATCGTGTCCAAAGACGTATGCCGTGAATCAAGGATGCGGGAGATCGAGGCTCGGGATGGTCGGCTCGACCTACGGCGAGTTAATTCAGCTTGGCCAGGTCTCCGTATGGCGAGCTAGGCGATAAGAACCCTTGGGGCAAAGTCAGCGCCTCTTGGGAAGCTTCTAGTTCGCCCAACGGCGAACTAGCCGGGACGAGACTAGTTCGCCCAATGGCGAACTAAGCCGGTCTTGGCTTAGTTCGCCGTTGGGCGAACTAGTCTGGACGAGACTAGTTCGCTTATTATGGCGGTTTCGGTTTTTCGCGGTTTTGTAAAATGATTCTTCGAGTTTTATAAAATGATTCTTTGAGTTTTATAAAACGATTCTCGAGTTTTATAAAACGATTCTCGAGTTTTATAAAATGATTCTTCGAG